GCATGGCCAACTTCTGATCCATGTCATGACCCACCAAAGTAACCCTGAGAAAAAGCATGAGGTACATGAAGCTGTGTCCCCATCCATGTCTCTGCATAGTTCCATCTTTTTCTGTAAACACACTGCTGAAGGCTGCAGTTAATAGCAAAACATCTATTTCATCTCCAGGACCTGGCACCCTATTATCAGGCTGGAGACTGAGCAGGAACTTCTTAACCTGGGCAAACTCAGAAGAATGACTGCCAACCCAGAGAGCCAAAGTGTCCACCTTCTTATTTTTTTAGGTGGACCGTGTAAGAGTGTGTTGCATCTCTTCCATACTGTTGGGTCCATAGCCATCCTTGCAGGCAGCAGTGCAGAATCCTCTTGAATCTGATCCACCCCTTTGGTTGTACATTGAGCCATTACAGTCTATGATGCGCATGTGTCAGAGTTTTGTTTGTCGGCAGAGTAGGAGGGCTACTAGCCCCACTAGCTGTCCCGGATGTTAGCAAATGCTAGCATGTCTCTCTCACAGCAGCAGAACCGCAAAGTAAAAGAAATACAGTCCGAGTGAAGCACTTGAGCCGCGGGCGGATACCCGGCCGTCACCGACAATTAAAGCCTCGACTGGTAATAAGTATGAGGGCCGTTGTAGTGAGCTAGCTTGATGCTAACTTCGGCTAGCGGTAGCGGTTAGCATCCGCCGCTAACACCTGCTTCCCAGCTCACCACAACGGCCCTCCTGCCCATTGCAACAAAACTCTGGAGGCTCCCGTTGGCGGTGACGGCCGGGTATCGGCCGGGTATCGGCCCATGGCTCCAGCGCTTCACTTGGACTATAATTCCTTTCCTTTATGGTCCTGACAACTGCTGTTGCTGCTGTCTGGGGCAGGATGCTACACAGTTGAGCCAGAGAAGAGGGGCCCAGTTTGAATGTTTTGTTTACAAACTGCAACAAACAAAACTCCAGACTCTACCTTTAATAGATGAGAACTATTAAATCACTTTGATGGTGCATCACTCTAGCCCGTATTTCCCATGGAAGTATGTAGCCTATTGCAGTTCCCCAACCCATAGCAAGTTCCATGTGTGTTTTTCTCCCTCATAGTCAGCGTGTAGCTTCTTACCGGGCTAGTTAGCTAGCTAAATTAGCCACTGCAAGCTAACCAACCATTAAAACACAACCCCTTTTTTTGATATTTAAAAAAGAACTGACTATGTACTGTAAAGCTTTGAAGCACATGAAAAAGAAAACAGCAAAAAGTCTTCCGTACACTATTAATAACATTAGACTATTAGAAGAGGCCCCTTAGCGATTTTAATTTATATATTTTTTCATATGTCTTTTTTGTTTTATTCTGTTTCCTGTGCTCCGTCTGTGTAAGAGCATATTATGAAGAATGTAACAACTGCCATATATTGTTGTAAATTGTTCTATTTTCAATTAAAAAAAAAACAAAAACCCACTGAGCTTCCTGTCTGTGACGGAAGCTGTCATCAGCAGAAAACCAAAAAGGCACCCATGTGGGTGGCTGGAAAATGACCAATCATAAGAGGGCCAGGGTCAGCCTTGGTCTCCACCCCCAAAGTGTCAAAAGTCCTTGCTTCAAGCGAGCAGAACTCCACCACGAGCGAGCACAGGGGAGAGAGAGAGCGCGAGAGCAGGAGCGAGCCAGCACGCGCAAAGCAGCTGCACAGTGTTGTTGTGTGTGTCGCTGCTGTTTTTCACTCGCACGCACCTGCCTCTGCTTCACTCTGTTGCTGAATATGTGCGCGAAGATCAAACAAGTGCGCGCGGCAGTTGAAATCTGTGCGCGTGACACGAAATAATTTACACGAGAGAGAGATTTGCGCGCGTGCAGATGTATTATCCGCTCGCGCCACATGACACAAATATAACGCCATAGTCGGCCAGAAAGCTTTGTCACAATTGTATGGCTTTGTCATATTATATTTGACCAACTACGTGATCATCTGAATATTAATACTGAATAAGATAGATTTCAGTCTGGCTATTGGCCCAACCATAGCACTGAAACCACTTTATTAAAGGCAGCAAATAACCTGAGATTTTCAAATGATTCAAACAATGGAGCTGTCCCCTTTTTTTTAGATTTAAATTCTGCTTTTGATAGTATTGATCATAGCATTCTAATCAATCGACTTGAGAAATAGGTTGGTCTCTCAGGAGGCACAGTGCTGGACTAGTTTTGTTAATACCAGTCAGACATTTTATTTATTTTTTTGTTAGTTTTGGTGATTATGTGTCTCAGAAATTTGCTATTGAATACGGTGTTCCTCAAGGAAGCATTTTAGGTCCTATTCTTTTTTCTTATTTAATGCCCCCATCTTGGCAACATAATTTGTCACCATCATCTGAAGAACACTGCCACATTTCAGCCATTTTTAATTCACAACGATGCTGAAATGCAGATACATGCTTACATCACAAGCCATGTAGATTATTGCAACTCTCTTTTTACTGATCTCCCTAAAAAGTATTTGAGAAAATTACAGTTAATTCAGAATGCTGCAGCCAGAATTTTTACCAATATAAAACAAAACTCGATCACACACAGGGGCGAAAATCCTGGGGGGGACAGGGGGGACATGACTCCCCCTTCAGAAAAGATAATAATTTGAGACACAATTAATAATTTTTGAACAATGCAGTAGTATTTATTGACAGCACAATGTAAGCGGTGCTCATTATAATCGCGCAATAATGTGCTATTTAAATCTTAAAAGATTTAGTCGTCCCCCCCCCCCCTTCCATTCCTAGTAGTGGTATATCCCACACTCTTTCCAACGGGCGGGGCTGCTTGGCAGCAGCAGCGTGTGGCTGGACCCGCTGCCCACATCGTGCATCTCAGGGTGGGTAAGATGTTCACTCACACAGACACAGTTTAACTTACACAAGTTACAACACATCCCATTTACTGTTACAACAAGCCCCAGGCCCAGGCTGATAATATAGACTGACTGCAACATTTCTCCTGCATTGTTCAAAAGCCTACTCAATTACGAGTCCTGCTAAGCTAAAAGCTAATGATTAAGTTCAGAGTTTAGTGATAGTCAGAGAGGACAGGAGAGAAAGAAGAGGGAGAGGACCGGACAAGAGCAGTCAGTGGTGGAGCGGCTCGTAGCTAATGGGTACCTGTCTGTAGGCTCTCCACCTGTCAGTGAGACAAACATGAAAGACGTGCAGTCTAACCGCCGAGGAGCGGTCGTTACGCGCGATTATTATACACGTTTGTGATGGAGCATAACTAAGGGGTACCTGTCTGTAGGCTCTCCACCTGTCAGTAAGAAACATGAAAGACGTGCAGACGAGGAGCGGTCATTACGCGCGACTATTACGCACAGCTGTGAGGTGCACAGCGGCAGATCTCACAGCACACTGTTTATAAACCAGTTTACCAGTTTAATTGCAGGAAATGTTTAGTTGTTAAGTCATTTCTCATAAGTATAGATATTCACTCTGCCTGTTGGAGAGATAGAGAGAAGATTAAAGTGTCAAATTGCAGTAAAAGATGCTATATAAAAGACAGGCTACAATTTTTTTTTCCTTGTCCCCCCCTGGAATTATTCTCTAAAATTTTACTGTTTATTGTCCCCCCCAACTATGAAATGGGATTTTCGCCCCTGATCACACAACAGCTGTCCTTGCATCAATGCACTGGCTACCTGTATCTTTTAGAAGTGATTTCTGAGTCCTTTTTACTTAGATTGTGCAAGGTTTCTTAGATAACACTTTCATGCATCAGCAACTGCCTTTTATTTTATATCCCAACAAGAACCCTCAGATCTACCAGTGCCATTGTTTTATAACTTCCTAAAGTTTTCCACAAGAAATCTGGTAAGGTTATACAAGAGTTAAAGGCATGCATGTGCTATAAACACTGAAAGTCAGAATGGAAACACTGTGCTAATGTCCTACACACAACCTAGGCTGAGGCTAGGTGCCTCAAACACTCACAAATACACAAAAAGGGCTATCTTACAGTAGCAGTCCTCTCTTGCCCACAGCACCAAAAGTGCAAGGTACGGCACTGTTGACAAGCCAAATTGACTTACTCTCAGCTTCTTTATTGCAACAACAGAGGTAGCAAATTTGGGTGATGGCGTTGGGGTTTTGTACTGAGGCAGGTGACTTTGTGGGTATAACAACTTGACCTGCATATATGTGACATAGAAACACCCAGTGCAATATATTCTGTAAAGTCTCTTTATTAAACTGTTTTAGTACACAGCCTTTGTCAGGGTTTTTAGAGCAGATTTGTATGGCATATTGTCACCAAGTTATTTTATACAACAAACAGTTATTTTATGACAGTGGAAATGTTGTTCATGAATTTGGGTTACTGAATTCAACAATCTTATATTAGCTAAAATAATCTGAACATGTATGAGCATTATCATGACTCATTTATTCTGAGTATGTGGATCAACCCACATGAAAAATGAACTGTTTTCCCTTCATGCTGTTGAAGTTGCCTGCCTGGTTGTTGAACATGATCAATAAATCTGACTGATTATTTTAGTTATTACTTTGGCTTGCGATAGGATTGATGCTAGTGATGTTTCATAGTAAAGAACTGATTTTGTGTCAAACATATACTCTAATATCAAACCCTGTTGTGTTCCTATTATGGTCACAGTGTATTTATGTAACTGTGCATTTGTATAAACAAAACTAAAACAAAACAAGACAAAATGTAAAATCTATGCACAAATGTATCGTGGAAGAACTAGTGCAAATGTGGTTTCACAGGTTTACCCTTTTAAATTTGTATTTGTGAATTAATGAAGGAAGATTAATATTATAATTCTGTAATTTGTACAGATTAATGATTAGTAATGCAGATTTGAAGATACTGCTTATTCCATCCATTACTTTTTTAATATTCAGTTGTTTTCTCTGACTTTAGGTTGTGTACATTCAGTGTAGTGACAACTTAAATAATTTCCACATCAGAGGGAGAGAATAGTTTTAGTCTCTCTGTCACAGTCTGTCTCTACACTATGTTAGCCTCAGAGGAGCTAGGCTTCAGTATCTGAAGTGATACAATGTGTTTAATAGCTTTCCTGAACCAGGGATAGAAAAAGACATATATCACAGGGTTGAGACAAGAATTAAAACACATCAGCCAAAGTTCAATTTTTCCAGATGGCGCCCCAACCAAGTTGTTCTCAGCTGCAACAGTGAAACAATAATATGGACAGTTGCACACAATAAACACAACTACAACAATACCAAGAGTTCTGGCTGCTTTCATCTCAGATTTCTTAGCAGTTACTGTATTTGAACGCTGAAGTGTATCAGCTGCAGTTTGGGAGCGCATGGCACGAGCCTGAGACACAGCCACCACAAACACTCTGATATACAAAATTATGATGACAAGAAAGGGGCCCAAAAAGGTCACAACAAGGTCAACAGCTCCATCAATATAATTAACTACAATTACACACTCTCCATAACAGGAGTTATACCTGCCTGGCTGTTTCAATAAATCCCTCGGCATCCAACTGCTGTGAACAGCAGAAAATATCCAACACAGACAAATGCAGAGTTGAACTCTTTTCACAGTGACTTTGATGGAGTAAAACATGGGGTCACAAATAGCAATGTAGCGGTCAGCTGATATGAGAACCATGTTTCCTACTGATGCACTGACAGCAAAGAAAGCTGAAAAGTAATACACAACACACATTATGTCACCCAGAATCCAACAACCTCTATAGATGATGATTTCAGCTGGCATTAGCACCAAACCGACAATGAAGTCAGCAACAGCCAGAGACAGGAGGACGAAGTTGGTGGTGGTGTGAAGCTGCCTGAAACGGGAAAACAACAACACTGAATACACTTGTTATATGTATGTGTTGAAATAAGAGTTATTAGCAGTTATGATACGAGGACTATGAATTGTCCTATAACAATAAGGCCTAAATATAACACAGTAGTGTAGATGTAAACACATTTGCAAATAACCAGTATGCAGTAATGAAAGGCCTAAACAAGAGAACATTACTCTTATGCACTACTTATGAACATGAGGAGAAGGTTAGTGGATGTGCAGCAGCCTGAAATGTGTGAAATCATCATTAATTGTTTCAGTAACATGTCTCAACAGCACCATAATCAAAGTTATCATCAGCTTAAATGTGACATCATGCTGCAGAGCTCAAAGCCATTTCTTTATGTAACTGTAACCAAAGAATAAACACTTTGTAAGCCAAGCAGAAAAGTGTATCTCTGCCTGAAGTGGGAGATAGAGGTGATGACCAGCAGGTTAAGAACCATAGTGAGCATAGTGATGCAGGACAGCACACTGAGAGTGACTGTGGCCTCCAAGTGAGGGCGACTTGTCTTCCTGCAGGAGGTGTTGACTTGGGGAAAGCAGAGTTCAGCCTCCTCCATGGCCACTGACAGGTTCTCCTGTCTCTCTGATGTGCAGCTGATTTATCTCTTGTCTCACATCCCATATGCTAATTCCATCTATTTTTGCTGATGTGTCAAAAACCTGAGTTTGAGTTGCCACACAACCTTGCATTCAAAACTATGTTATCAAAAAATAAAAACAGTGAAACAAACCACACATAACACATGGTCAGGTTTCAAACAATTAAGTGAAATTACCAGCTTTTTATGTCCCAACAGCCAATGTTTGTCTAGCTATCTTATCTTCAGATGTCCCCACAGTACATTAATGCACCCCAGCACAATTAGAGTTGTTAATACGCATAGTGAGTCATCAGTCGATTGTTTAAAACACATAGAATAAAGCAGACAACACACACCAGTGTGCTCAGAGTTTTTGTAATTTCTTTCAAATAGTTTTATTTAGTGATACAATTCATTTTTTTTCAGCTTGTTCTCAATCGAGCTCGTCATGTTGCCTCTGCTTTGTCAGTGATTTGACTAGTCCATACCCACTGAGTGCACAGCTGCCCACGTGCAGTTTCACATGGTGTGTGTTTGGGATACAGGTCATAGGAAATTGCAGATTAAATAGTCAACTGAACCCATTAAGAAGAGCAATGTATTCCGACAGAGTGTTTGTGAATTTGATAGTACGACTGCTTTATTGAAAATACAGTAGTACCATTGCCAATAGTGGGATAGTTAGTGGGCTAAAACTGTACATTAGTAGTTGAGGTAGCACGATGAAAGGCAGATAGTTAAAGTGTTTATATGTTGTATTGACTTAAAGTGGGGCGCACTGGTAGTTCACATGGGAAAGGACAAAGGACATCAAAGCCGTACTCAATCAGAAGAAGAGGGCTTGCAGAGGTGGCAACAGGGAGGAGCTGACGGACATTCAGAGGGAGCTGAGTGCAAAGATCAAAGAGGCTAAGGACGCCTACAGAAGGAAGCTGGAGAGGAAACTCCAGCAGAATAACATGAGGGAGGTCTGGAGTGGTATGAGGACCATCACCGGTTACAGACCAACTAGCAGTGGAGCTGATGGTGGTGTGGCTAGGTCCAATGAGTTAAATCTGTTTTTCAATAGATTTTAACCCTGCAGCCCCGACCCCTGTTGGCTCTCCTGCTGACTGTCTCCAGCCACCACCACTTCTGACCCCCCCCCCCTCCTCCTGATAGCACCTCATCCAACTTGATGAGCCCCTCACACCCATCCCCCACTCCTCACACCTCCTCCAGCTCCCATGCTACCTGCCCTCCTCTCAATTTGGACTTCAACTCTCCCCCTCCTCAACCTGCACTCTTTACACCTCTACATGTTAGAAGACAGCTGAGCAAACTCCCCGCCGGTAAGGCTGCAGGCCCTGATGGTGTCAGCCCACGGGTTCTCAGAGCCTGCGCCGAACAGCTCTGTGGAGTGCTTCATCGTGTCTTCAACATGAGCCTGAGCCTCCAGAGAGTCCCTGTGATATGGAAGACGTCCTGCCTCGTTCCAGTGCCAAAAACGCCGCAGCCCAGCGGTCTCTCGGACTACCGACCGGTGGCACTGACGTCACATATCATGAAGACCCTGGAGAGACTCGTCCTGGAGCAGCTCAGGCCTATGGTCAGGCTGCACCTGGATCCCCTCCAGTTCGCCTACCAGCCCCGGATTGGAGTTGAGGATGCCCTCATTTACCTGCTGAACCACGTCTACGCCCACCTGGACAAGCCAGGAAGCACTGTGAGGGTCATGTTCTTTGACTTCTCCAGTGCTTTCAATACCATCAGGCCTGCTCTACTGGGTGACAAGCTGACGGCGATGCTGGTGGATCCCCCCCTTGTGTCCGGGATTTTGGATTACCTCACTGGCCGACCACAGTATGTGCGCTTGCGGCACTGTGTGTCAGATACAGTGGTCAGCAACACCGGGGCCCCACAAGGGACTGTCTTCTCTCCTTTCCTCTTCACCCTTTACACCACGGACTTCAGCTACCAGACAGAGTCTTG